AAGGCTTTTCCAGTTAAGGGAAACAAGTTTAGAACTTCTAGATGGATCTGTAAAAGGAATGGTCTCCCCCACAGCTGCTGTGGAGGTTGCTGCTAGTGTTGGGGTCCCTGGCATGGTGGCCAGAGGCAGGGCTTGTGTCTTCCACGATCAGACAACCTTGTTGCACATGGCGAGGCTTCCTGTGAGGGCTGTGTAGGATTAGCTGGAGCTTAGAGGCTGGAGCTGGCTGCTCTCCTGATTATCTCCACTGCAAGCATTACTGCAGAGTGGCTGGGGGGCTGACCTGAAGATAGGAGGTGGAAGAAACCTTAAAGGCCCTTTACTCCCTTAGTAAATTCACATGTGAGGCAGGAGTACTGGATTAATCTTTGCGTAGCTGCACAGGCTCCTGATACGTGCTCCTTAAACCCCATAGAAAACAAGTTACAGTAATTGGGTACCTGCTGCCAAGTCTGGCTTCATCTCCCACTGCTGCCAGCAGCAGGGCTGGCAGCAACAGTGGTAAGGCAAATGCTGATCATCTGCTTTTCAGGTAGAAAAGTGTATTTTGTAAAGAAGAAAATGTAGTTGTTCTGCGTCTGCCGTAAATACACATGTTCTCACAGTAATATTTGTGTCATAGCTGCTGATTCTCAGTATTTAAAACAAATCAGGCCCCAGACTTCAGGAAACTTAAACAAAAAACTTGAATTCCTCTCCATTTGCCTCATGAGGATGCATGTGGGATCATGTATCAAGGGTGATGCCACTGTAAAGGTCAGATACTCCACGCTCATGCTAAAAATCAAACCGAATCTGAAACTTCCAGCCACCACTGTAACTCTAGAGCAGGGGCTCTGGGAACATCGGTATGAGGGTAGCTGGGCTGTAATGGGTTGTTAGTGCTGATGTAAAGGTGGAGTGTTGCAGAAATATCTTGTACGTGCATCCTCTGTGTCGCCTGCAGCTGGGTGTCCTGTCCTGCCCTGCCGAGTCCAGTGAGTCACTAATGTCCACAGGAGATTTTGGGAGCTTTGCAGGGAGGTGCAGGTGCAAGGGAGCCCTTAAAAGCAGAAGAAGGGAGTTTTCCTCAGCTGGCTTGACCACCTCTGACAACATCTGTGGGAAAAGGCAGAAGATGGGTCATCTTTCTCACTGTGCCCCAGCTCTCAGAGCTCAGCACAGACAGCTGGAATCAGACCTGCTCATGATCTCCTCCCATCTGCTTCCCCCCAGGCTGCCTGTTGTTCTGGTTGCCCTCAGGTGGCCTGCCTGATGTCTCCAGCAGAATCAAAAAGCTGTATAAGAAGAGCCACCATGCTGAATATCCTGAAGAGAGCCAGCGGTCATTTAACGTAGATTATCCTTGTTCTCTTCGCTGGTTACTCTGAGGAAGTCTGGATTTTGGCCCGGTGCTGTCTCAGCAATGTGTGCTTTTTCAAGGCGCCAGTGGGGAAAAAATTGCAGCAGAAGAGCAAGGATTGTGTTCCCACAAACCGTTTTACTCTTCTTAGCCTTGCAGGGCTGCTTGTCACACGCGCAGTGGTCTGTACGTTGAAGGCTTGCTGCATGGGCAGTGAGCAAGTGAATCACGAGCAGCAGACCGCTGTTCACCCCAAGGAGCACTGGAGTGTCACAGCTCTTTGTCAGTACCCGTTATTGTGCTTTGGGGGCTGGGGGAGGACAGCACATTACAGACTATTAGGATTTTATTATTGCCTTCCTTGAGATTACACACTACTGACTGGCATCCATTACAAGAAGTACTTAGAAAGGTGCTTCCAAAAGCCCAAATGAGTGAAGATATGGGTGGACCACATCCAGAGGTGTTTTATGACAGCTTATTGCAACTATTTCTGTTCATGCAGTTCTCTGCCATCAGTGAGTGGAGGAGACCTGCTGATTCTGACTACTGCTCCAGCTGGTAGCGAACACTTTAAAACAAAGACGTAATTTCAAAAACACCGGTAAAACTTCTGTCCATCAGAAAATTTCAGTTTGATGAATTAATACTTTCCATGTGAGGACACAAGAAAAATGGAAGTATTCTCCTTGAAAGGTGGTTGTTTTTTTGTTTTTTTTCCTGCCAGTCAAATCTGGGCTAGCTGGCTGAATACTCCTCCATTCGGTACCTTCTGCCCGATTGCGCAGTCGGTACACATTTCTTCACAGCTTCCTCTCCTCATATGGTGGGCTACCAGCAACTTTCTGCTCCACTTCGGAGTGGACAAGAACTGAGTGATGTGAGATCAGATCTATGATGTCCTTGTTTGCAGCAGGGGTGGAATATCTGAACCTGCTGTGCCGCTGCAGTGGCTGAAAGGAGGCTGTGGAAGAGGAGGCTGGTGGGGAAGCAGTGTTCTCGCTGCTGTGGCAGGGGCGCATGACGTACAGACAGCGAAGGCTGGCAGTTCTCCTTGTGTCCTCTGTTCCCCCAAGCAGGAGACAACGCACTTCCCGACAGTGCTGTCTGTTGTACTGCCCTGTGGCTGCATGCTCTGAGGTTTGCCAAGGCCCTGATCTTCAAGTCGGTGTTGTTCTTGAAGAGCCAGAATCACCCACCCAGGTTTCCCCTGAGACACCAAGCAAAGGCTGTCTGGATGGGTCAGTTAGCCATGCGAATACCTGGCAAGTCTCGGTTTCCTCTGACAGAGATAAGGATCTTTGTGTATTAGGATCCTAGTCCACTCAAGCTGCTTAGTGATGTGCTCAAGAGCTTGGCTCAAAAATAGTTGCAAAAGGGCCGGTGGGAGAAGGACTCAGGTCAGGGCGGCTTTCGTAGGACGTCTTTGAAGCCAGGAGGAGGTGCCAACTGCAGATGCATGATGGGTCTGTGCAAAAGGCTGGGTGATCCTGTCCCACTCAGCACTTGTGCAGGTGCCTGTGTGCCCTGGGGACACGATGAGAAAGAAGGCTGCTACCTTGTGTTTTACACTATTATAGGGAAATATCTGCCCAGACTGCCCCTTCTAAGATGCTTGTTGTTTGGCTCAAACATTCTGGTTTACTGAAAGGACAGTGTGGGGTTTTTTTCTCTTTTAGTATGCCATCTGGGTTTTTTAAGCATTTGTTTGTTCTTCAAGCTTTTCCTCCTTGTCCTGCAGGTTAAGAGACTTTCTCCAGAAGTTCTGTTTTGTGAAGCACAGCAAAAGCATAGAAAGGAAAGACTGTCCTTTCTGCAAAGAAGTAAAAGATATGGGACAGGGGTAGAGGGTGGAACTGCACATGGAGGTAATGAGAAAGCACCAGAGAACAAGTGATCTTGGAAGGACCAGCTGCAAGCAGGACGTTCCCCATGGCTCAGAGGGGAATGTTAGAGCATTTGAAGGGATGTGGGAAAGCCAAAGCACTTTGTGCTACTGAGGAGAGAGATTAAGTCAAAGTAAGAAGATGGTTGCAGCCACACTGTTGCATGAGTGTTAAGAGTGTCTACAGAGCTGACTGTCAGAAACAGTGAAATACTGAGGCTGAAAGGGAGCATGCTAAGCACAGACGGTGACTGCTCCAGCCTTGGTTTGACATGTCCTATGTGTCTTTCAGGCTGCAGAACTGCTATGCTTCTGCTTGTTCTGTGGTTACTTCCCAGTCACCCTCTGGAAAGGGAGCAGACTTCCCATCCTACAAGCTCTAGTTTCCCTCAGAAAACACCACTTGATTACAAGGGTACTTGTTTTTGGTTCAGAGATGCTGCTCAGAGGCAGCTATAGCAGCAGCATGGCTGAAGGAGCAGTTTTGAATTGCGTTGCGTAAGAAAGAGCAGCCAAGAGAATGCTCAGCAGAGGAGCTCCTGAAGGGTTGAATTTTATGGCCCGCTTTTCTGTCCATTGCCGCACAGGCAGATAGTGAAATGGGCCAGAACAGCTTCCTGGGAGGGGAAGAGACATCAACAAATGTTGGTCCTGTCCTCTCATCCTTGTTAGAAAAGATGAGTTAGGTGGAGTGTTGTGAGGGAGGGTGCTGAGGGGAAGAGGTCCAGTTTGTGTTGAGACAAAATGTTTTGTGCCTCATTTCTGTCAGCTTCCAGCCATCTCTTTTATATCTTGTTATTCTGAAGTTAACTCACTAATATTTCTGCTGCAGCAGAGCTCCTGCTATGGACCAGCAGCCTGCTGTCCTGTGCACTGTCCCAGCATAACAGACAATGTCCCCGATGCGCAGAACTTACTGTCTGAGCAGAAGACACGAGAGAGGAGCTCAGGACATAGAAATCTTGCAAGCTGACCAGAAGACACAGTGTGAAAGGTGGCTATAATAATTCTGTTTCCTTGCTGAAGTACAATTGAAATACAAAGAGTTGATATTCTTCGTGACTTCTTGTAGATGCAGACATATTTTCTGTTTCATGTTGTGTTTGGTTCACTTGCAGCCCGCAGTTCTTTCCAGTGTTTGAATGAGTAATGAAAATGGTATGTGGCTACCGGCTTTCTGTATCTTGGAAGGCACAATGTTTAAGTGGCAAATTATCTGGTTTGATAGAGGAATCGCAGGCTGGCAGGTTCAGTTTGGGGTCTGTAAGCTGACCTAGCCTTTGCATCTTCAAAAGAAGGAACATTTTTAGGTGCAATTAAAGTCACAATGAATTAACCAGATCTGAGCCAAACCCTTCTAATGCTGTAGTTCTTCAGTTCAGTAGGACTAAAAACATCCTATCAACAGCAGAGGGTACACGTACAAGGAGCAGGCTGGGTGAGTTACCATTTTTGTATTGTTGAACTAAAGCTTTTAAATGGAAGATCCAGGAGGAGCCACTCACTTTACTAATTTCTGGAACGACATATGTTCACGGAGCTCCAGGACTAGTAGACATCAGGACACTGGACCAGTTTTATCAGAGACAAGTTTGAGTTTATGACCTTGGTTTAGAGACTGCTTCTGCTAGTGCAAACAGCAGTGTGCAGCAGCGTGCACTGGCCACTCAGTTTCTTGCTTCATTACTGCTCTCTGTAGAATTTCTGTGGCTGTATTAATTTGAGAGGGAATCTGTCACAGAGAGGGAATACACAAGCTCTCTGCCTCCACAGGGCAGCCAGGAGTTGGCTGTAAAGTTCACTGTCATGCCCTGAAGTGTTTGGCCCACTGAGGCTGAAGGCTGTGTACTTGTCCCTGAAATGATGGTCAATGGAAGAAGCGCGTCTAGTTTGGATCCATGTATGGGTGCGTGTTACTGTTCAGAGATGCCAGACTAAAACAGAGAAGGGCTTTCCTGTCACTAGGTACGGCAGCTTTCTCTTGTTAAGAAAACAGATCACTGGATCCAGAAACCATGAAAAAGTAATACAGAGGTTACTGGATCATTCTCTGCCGTGAGAAGCTAATGCACTATGACCATCAACATGGACTAACCAAAAGCACCACGCAGGGGAGACTGGATGGGCAGGAAGAATCATAGTAAGTGTTACAGATGTTAACATCCTCTGTTAAAGCACATGGTCTTCCCAAGCTGCCAGTGGATCTCTTTATTACAAAAGAGTTGTGAATTGGTGTTGGTAAGTCTGAACAGTGTCTGGAATATTTTCTTGATCTTTTATCGTTCTGTTTTCCTGTGATTTCTGTCACTTTCAGGTAGATGGAAGATTTGGAGACTAACTTAATCCAGACACGCAAAGCATGTAGAATAGAGCAAATGGTAGCAAAATGGCTTCATCGCTCTCGGGATGGTGCATCCAGGTAAACGTGTTTTTTTGTGAAAGGAATATCAGTTGATCACCTTTGATCAGAGAGAGCACAAGCTTGTTCCCAACAAACAGGGGCAGTCACAGGTTGCAGATCTTACTCATTGCATCAGTTGTTCTTGGGAAATATGCATACAGTAGTCCCTAGAAAAAAACAATGATGTTAAGCATTCCCCTTGGTTTCCAGGGACAGATGTTCCTGCTTTCACCCATCCTGGTTTTGTGAGCCACATTTGCAGAAATACAATACTGCTCAATACGAGAAGTACTTTTCTTGAAGATGGGGTTGTACTTCTCTTTGTGTCTTGCCATTGGCCCATGTTTTTAGGGCAAGACTGGGTTGCATTTACAAGGGATCCTGGCCCACAGCTGTTTTACTTTCCTACGGTCTGAGAATCAAAATTAAGCTGGACTGGATCCTGGCAGAAGCGGAGAGCTGTAAATTCTCTTGCTGCCTTGCTGGGTAAAGGTGTTGCTGTGATCTGTGGAGGTCAGGGCTTGGTGTGGGGCACACCTGGAGTTCTCCCTCCATGTGACCACTGGGCTGGGGTGGCTGAAAGAGTGGTGGTTACAACCAGCTGGTGCCACTGGTCTGATGTCTTCAGCTTTCTGTGGAGCCTGAGGGATCACTGCTGGCCTGTACGGTGCAGAGCCACCCATGGGTACCCAGCGAAGTGCTGGCCTCTCTGTGTATTGGTGCAGCCCATTGAAAGTGGGGGTGTGTGTATGTATGTGGAGCTATGCACCTTTGATAAAGAGATTCTATGATCTTCTGACTGTGTCTTCATTAATCACCGGCTTCTTGTCTCACAGGGGCAGAGTGTCTGTGACAGACAGCACCAGTGATGACAGTGGCCAGCCTGCCAGCCGTGTCAAACTTACTGTCACAGTATACAAAGATGTGGTCCTCCATCACTACGGCTTTGAGATTTGTCCAAACCTTCCTCTTACGATTGCATCTGTCACTGCAGGTAAGCACCATTTCCTTCTCCCTACAATCACACGTGTGAGAAGCCTGAACTGTCCCAGATGGCCTTAGTGATAAACTCCTGCCAGGTATTTATGAGTTTCTCAGGTACCTCTGGTTGGCATGCGATCCTTGAATACTGAGCGCAAAAGCCTGTGTGCCTGTGGTGTGCAGAGTGCTTGAACATCTTACCTGATTCTGATGGCATGGAACAAATTTAAGCCAATGGCAGCTTCACTGCTAATCCTTCGCCTGCACTCGGACACAGCTGACCTTCAGGGATGTGAAGAGCTGCTTCAAAGCAAAGTTGTTTCTGGTGTTTTATCTGAAATGCGAAGGGAGAATTTAATCTAATCTTGGAGTTCTTATTCTGCAGTGGCCCCGGTGATCTGTTGTAGAAAATGCTCTCTGTGCTTACAGCCCTGTAACATCGGGAGGATCACTGCTAGTTACAGGCAGCCCAGGCGAAATTCTGCTTAAGGCAAGCAGATCAACTCTTCCAGTTATAAAAGGGAGGGATGTAACTCTGCTTTTAAGGTGGCTTGGGGGTTTTGAAGTAAAAACTGTGAATCTGTTTTTTATTTACCTTTTATTTTTTTAACGGGTGCACAAAAATGTCTGCTTTTTACCTGTCAGTGTGAGTGTAACAGGCAGAGAAAGACTATGCCCAAGCTGGGCAGGTAGGTGCTGTGGGGAGGGTGGCTGGAGGGCTGGCCTGGGCTTTGCCTCTGGCTGCCCCTGTGGGCTGTGGCATCCCCCATCTGCCTGGGGGAACGGCCTGTCCAAGTGCTCGTACTTGTGGGATGTTTAGCATAAAGGCACTACAGTATGGTGGCTGTCCTTTCACAGTGCTTTTGAGTGAAATTTCCTCTTTATGCCCCTTCCCATGTGAAATGTGGCTAAATTAGCTGAGAGTCTTGGGGTCTAAGAAGTGGGGAAGAAGGTTTTCTGTTATGCTTTTCTTTTTTCCTACTCAGAAAGAATCAATATTTTATTAAAACTGAGGCACAAAGAAACCTGTCCTTTTACGTCCTGTCTTTTGCTGTGGGAGGCCACAGCCAAAAGCCCTGTGTTTAATTCCAAATGATGGTCTTTGTGTTTTGCCTTTCATGTATGCTGCCTGCTGCCGGAGTCTCCCTGAGGGACAGGTGGCAGGTGCTAGGTGGGTTAGTGGGCAAACAAATTCAATAGTGAGCCTCAGCCAGCAGGCTGGCCATGGTGGAGCTGGGGACGCTCCTCCTTCTCAGACCAGAGGTCCGCCTGCTCCTTAGCCCCTTGGATCCTGTGGCTGGTGGTCTCCTGGAAGAAAAGCTCAGAAACCATCTTTTGCTCTTGTTGTGGGTCCTCCCAGCAGACAGTGTGGTTAAGGAGACCTCCTCCGTATTCTCCCAAGTGGCAGAGGGGAGTCACTCTGCTGGGAATCCAGCCCACATCTCCCAGGGACTGCTGCAGCACCTTGGTCTGGATGGTGGCATGCAGGAGCGCCGAGCCCTGGCCTGTGTGCTGTATGTGGTCAGCTGCTGGGATGTAACCAGTAGGGTCAGCCCAGGGTGCAGACCCCGCAGGGAGGGAGCACTGTGCTGCGGCAGCTGCCCAGGCCCCAAGAGGTCTCTGTAGGTCCATGGCTTGCAGACGGGCAATGGGCAAGGCAGTGCTGCTACCCCCCAGTCCTCCTGTGGTTTCTGGAGAGCCTGTGAGCCCTCCTGCTGCACCCTGGGCAGGCGGTGTCTGAGGACTGTGTGGTGAGCTGTGACAAGGGAAAAGACATGCACAAGAGTGATTTTCTCTGGTGCAGGGGCAGCTCGTGGGGCCAGAGGACAGCCTGGGCAAGGTGGCATGGAGACGGGCAGTGGTACACCAGCTGGCATCAGGGCTCAACGTCCTTTGGCCCCTTCTTATTTTGCCATCCAGAGGCAGTTGCTGAGGCAAGTGGGTGCCGGGTGGGAAGAGGAGCTTGCAGTGAGCATCCCAGGTGGGAGGAGGTCTGCCGGTGCTGCACCGTCATGACTAACAGTATGCCGGTTGCCCGCAGGGAGCACCGCCGAAGGGAAGCTGCAGCCGGGTGACCAGCTGCTCCTGATAAACTCTACCACAGTGGACGACGTGTCTGTCGAACGAGCGGCTGAACTCATCAGGTGTGGTCCCGCATGGCCCATGAGGACGAGGTGGCAGAGGGCTGAGAGGAGAGGTGTGGGGACTGGGTCTCACCAAGGGTTGCTAAGGTGCATGGCTGTGTGGGGCCGGCTCCCCTCATGGAGGAGGACCTCGCTGCCTCCTGGGGTGCTGTGCTCGGTGGGTGCCTGCCCCACAGGGATGAGTCCGCCCTGCGGCTGAAGGGCACAGCAGCCCAGGAGAGAGGGGTTCCCCCACTTTCTTGTACAGTGGTGATGCTTGGTGGGCTGCGCCCTGCCTGGCTGAGAGCCTTCCCTCGCAGTGGGGCGGAGGGTCCAAAAGTCTGGCTGGTGTCGTCTGCCGCGACATTGGGGAGGAAGGCGCAGGCAGCTGCTGACCCTGGCTGACTGCATGTCTCTGTTACAGGGAAGCCGGTGACGAGCTCCTCTTAACCGTCCTGCGCTGCACGTCGGTAAATGGCCTTTCTTCAGCACTCTCAGCACTCCCAGCAGCCCTGCCCCAGATGGCCACAGCCGCCAGTGTGGCTGGCAGGGAAGGTGGGGCGACTGGGCTGGCACACAGGACGCAAGGGCCCGACTGAAGCTATGAGGGAGCTGCGAGGGTCCTCTGCTTTCACCCACGCCCTTTCAGGAGGTTTTGGGGGGAGTCAGTGGTAACTTCACAGCTCCCCTGGGTGCAGGGCCAGGGCGGCTTGCAGAGCCTGTCACACAGGGAGGCTCGCTGAGCAGTTTGAGCCCATGCTGCCTGGAGCTGGAGGCTCCATCAGGCGCTGTGAGGGCCCAGCGGGCTCCGCAAGGGCCAGGAGGCTGCAACGACTGGGATGGAGGCAGGTCTCCTCAGCAAGCTGTGGCCAGCCCACCACGAACAGCCTGGAGCACTCCCCACGTGCTGGGGCTGTCTGGGCCATGGGGACCCCCCGGACACGAAAGGCAGGTGCCGAGGCTGCAGGCCCAGCATCCGTCCTATGTGCTCCTTGGAAGCTCTTCAGGTTTTCCTTTCTGAGTGCTGGAAAAATTTATCCCTTTTTCTCCAGGCTCCATCTGGTTAAAGGCTGGGACCTGGGTGTGGATCATACTTTCGGAATAGAAGCAAAGTTTTAGTATGGAACTTCTGTGCTGATTGCCCATTCCTGTAGCATAAAATTCCCCAGAAGGCATGTACTGCTGACATGATGTGTTTATCCACGTGGATTTCAATGCGTGTAAAAGCTGAGCTGCAAAGCAAGGACAAAATTGGGTTTGTGTGCTTTTTGGCTTCTTGTGATGTATGAAAGTGGCCTGAGGGGGATTTC